TGTATGGCTGCACTGTCTGCTTAATTGACTTATTTTTTTCCCACTTTGCTTCATCTACTTCACGTAGTTGTGAAACATCCTGAAAAATTATAGACATCTACTTGTTTAAAAATGAGTTGACTTATTTAATTTTATGAAATTACACATTTTATAGTACCTAGGTAGGTACATTAATTATTGAAAATGTTTCTTACATTTATGTAATTGATGAACCCTTGTTGAATTTCCAACTTTGATGGACGCCAGTTCTTTTTTGGGAAGTTATCAATTGTACGTTTACAGCACACGTTTACTGGGTTAAACCATAGAACAGTATAGAAGCGAAACTCGATCAGCTGATTGGGGTATTGGTTCCCTATGATCTGAAGTCTGAACCTACGAAAAACATGGAATTGGTTCCCGCACCAACATGATGTTAGACCCGTATATTAAAAATTGGTTCCAAGACTATGGCGGGATACGGGACGCGGGGTCGGCACTAAGGCCTGATACGGGACGCGGGGTTTTCACGTATGCCACGCCCTCCTGAAGACCGTGTTCAAGGCCGCAATCGCCTGGTTCGGCCAACGCACGGAGTTTCGTACCCCTGGTTAAACCATAGATATATACAACAACTAGATAGCCGTCTCCTTCTTGTCATCGAAGTCGGCCGCCATTTACAAAGCAGGCAATGTTTACAAAACAATATTATCAAAATTCAGTTATCACAGTATATTGATTAATCAAATAAATATATTATTATGTCTGAAATCTGAACTCTATTAAATTCAAAATTTCAAACTAATAACTATTGCTTAATATTTTATATTTTGTTACGTACCTAACTTATGTAATATCCAATTATGTTATTGATTTATAGCTGAGTGTGAAGAATTAATATGGATATTATTGTTTGAATTAGTTAGGTACCTACCAATTTGGTTTCACCACCGCCAGAAACAAATTTAATATAGGTATGTAGGTACACAGGGTACACTTTTTTGTCAACTATTTGTTTTATAACTTATATCAGCTATTTTTTCCACATGTGTGCGTAGACTATAATATGCCTAAAGAATAATATTGTTTATTATGTCTTATTTGTCTCAAAGTTAAAACAAATATTATTTATAATATTAATATATTTATTTATGTAGGCACAAAAGTTTAATCTATACTTTTAACAATATACAATATTTGTATAAACTTGCAACTTGCAAATGAACAATTTTATGAAAACAAAACAAATTAAAAACATTAAATATAACAAACAAAAGGTTTACTGGTGATAAAATAAAATAGCTTTAGTCAGTGTGTGGCGTTTATTAACAGGGTTAAGAATATTGGTAGAAAACATTTTTCCAAATGTATGTAAACGTACACCAAACATTTTTTTATAATCATTTGGATCAAACCCATTTTATGAGGACGGTCTAATAATGATATGTTCTCACATATTAAATCACTAAAAATATTATTATTTAATACTAATAGTTTATTGCAACTCAAAATTATTTTTCTTTCTAAGTTAGAAATATTTAAATCTTTTAAATTATCTGTATAGAACAGTAACATTTTTTCAGCCTCAACAATAACTTTAAAAACACTATCAGAGGGTAAGATAAGACCCCCACGGTTTTTGAAGTTAACAAATCGCAAATGAATATCTGAGGAACAATAATCATGGTCAATGGATTTCCTTAAAAGAGCAGTTATACATGAATTACATTCTATTTTTAGTATAATTTTTCTAACAATAATTCCAGAAATGTAAAATAAAATATTTTCTTAACATCTTTCATATGAGAGTTTCTACAATTTAGCAAGTTCAACCTATTACTTGTTTCATCATCAATCATTGTGGCATTCCCATTTTCACCACCATCATCAATTAATGTTAATTTCCTATTCCATTTAAAATCTAGTATAGATCCAAACGGATCGTCATCAAATGTGTTGCAGTTTCCATTTGTCTGACACTTTATTGCATTTTTCATAAGAATCTGCTTCATAGCAGTTTTGAACTGTTGAACATTGGTATTGTTATTGGATCCATACCTCTGTCTTACACGAGCAAAACAGATCTCTAGATGGTCTTGAGAAAACTTATAAGAGAGAATATACTTAAATTCTGGACACTCAGTAAATAATGATTTTGCAATAGCAAACATTGACTTGACTGCAGTTGCAAAACCAAAAATAAAAGTTTTTTTATTTGTCTTATACAAAAGCTTATCACCAATACTCAAAGAAAACAGATAATCAATTAAAGGTAATATCGTATTTTCCATAAACTGAATATTAGCTTTAAAAATAGCGGATTTATATCCTTAGGCAAAATGGTTTCGTGCATTTAAAAAATCAAAAAGCCTATCAATATTGCGACAATATTCTGCAGTAGCCTCAGTATTAGAAAAATTAGGAGAGTTAATCAATCTAAGGTATTCTAAAGCATCCGCTGTTGATGTGCTAAGGGTTTGGGCAGCAAATTTGACTTTCATCTTATTATTTTTCCAAAATATATGAGATGCACTTAATTTATTAGAAAATTTGAAACTTAACTCTTGTTGTATAAAATGCAAATTTTCAATATAACTCCACATGATTGTCCCTTTATTTGAATTTATTTCTTTTATGATCCCCAATGTGTTTCTAGCCAATTTCAACATATGACATGCGTCGGGTATAAAATAAACATTGTCATTTGTAATTGGGTGTTTAAAGCTACATTGAATATCATCATAGTTATTGACATCTAAATTACAACCTAATTTTTTCATACTTGAAAAATTCGTAGCACGACCATCACATGTTATAGACCAAACTTTTAAACCAGCTGCATGGGTTAAAGAAAGAGCACATTTAATGAGTTCAGCCTGAGCTATTGCTCCTATTTTGTTTTGTAAAACATATCCTATAGGTATCTTCCATTTGCCATTACAACTTGTTAGCATGAAAACAAGAGCTTCGGTGGCAGTATTATCTGTACATTCGATATCTAAATTATTACCAAAATCACGATAACCTATAAACTGTTTGCTTTTTGGATCCCAAATAATTTGTTGTTTTAAAGCCATTGCATCGATAACTAGGTTACAATGTTTGTCGAATGGTTCCAATTTTCCAAGTGCACTTAAAACGTCTTTAAAAAAAACCCGGGTTCTCCATTTATGTATGAAGTCCAATTCCTTATTCTGATACATGTGGAAGAGCTAATATTGATCTAAAAATTATACCAATAGTTAGTAATATTAATACAATTCCAAGGGCGCCCATCAATCAGAACCTAGGAGGGTTACAATATCATAAAAAAATAACTAAGGACCAACTAAATAGATTTTATTAAAGAACACAAAATAAATACACAACATAGATAAATAATGTACCTATGTAATATGGGCAAGCCCCCCTCCCAATTTGCACCTATGAGTTACATCTCACCTCCTTGCACCCTTAAACCCTTTGACGAGTAAATTATTTTTCATAGTAGTTCACCCAGAGAGTGAATTGTTTTTACCAAAAAACCGCACTTTTCACCATAGTAATGACGGAAATTTACGTCGCAATTATTGTTACGTAAAAGAGTAAAGACGGATAAATACGTCCTATTAATTTTTACCGTAAGAGTGAAGACGGAAATAGACGTCCTTAGAAAAAGTATAACTCAAAGAGGAATGACGTAAATTTCCGTCTAGTATATACCTAATTTAATAAAATTTTAAATAATTAATAAATATTAAATATATTAATTACCTGTACAATTTAGAAATAAAACACTATCTAAAATGCATTCTCTAATATAATTTAAGTGATAGCATTGATTATAACTTAGCTATGTTGTTACTTAATTAATAATATTATAGGTATTATAGAGAACAATTTTTAATACTTTTTATTTTATACATATTTTTCTGCCAGTAAAAATATATACTGTTAGCTTAAAATGTATTTAAAATCAAAAATCATCCTTTATTGAAATAAAATAAAAAAATCAACTTGTAACATAATATAAGAAAAATCAAAATGAATAACTGTAGGTAGTTTTTTAAACTTATAATGACAATGAAAAAATTAAAACAAAAGTTAAAATATATGATAAAATAAAACGATCAACTTGTATAAAATAGTAAAAATTAAAATTAATAACTTATTAAAAAAAAAATTAAAATGTATGATAAAATAAATTAATCAACTTGTATAAAATAGTAAAAATTAAAATGAATAACAGTAGTTTTTTAAATGTAAAATAACAATCTAGGTACATATTTATAGTGTTCCCTGTATTTGGTAGTTTGATATTTGGTTACTTAGTAGGTAGTGTAATTTGGTATGGTAGTCCTTGAAACAAGGTTCTAAACATAAAGGTTTGTTACATTCATTACATTCATAAGATGTATCTTTTCGTGATTGGGGATTTAATTTTGTGTTAGAATGGACATGACACCTTCTGGAAATTTTTTTTTTAACTTCTCCACTGTTGATTCTTGAAGGGAAATGACGAGCGTTAAGTCTAAGCGGTAAATCGTCTTTTGGTTTTCGCCCTGCACGACTAGGTGATATTATATCATCAGACAAAATATGAGCATGTAATATTTGCTCGATTAATTTTAACCTAAATTCTGGCAACTTTAAAGTTTTTTTTTCTAAAGTACTACATACGATTCCAGAATTTAGTACACATATATCTAGTAAATGAAAAAAAATTTTTTGTACCATTTTATGGATTTCCTCGAAGTCGTATTGAATGAAATCTGCATATCTGACTTATCAACCAAACCCATGTTTGCATTATAATCAATTACACAGTCAGGTTTAAGTGCATAGTTTTCATGTTTATCTATTTTATTTGTTTTTTTCATTATGGGTTTATGAACTGTGGATAGCATATGTACATCCCTTTTGTCTTTCCACTTACAACACATCATATTAGGATTTGTTGATATAGCAGAAACACATTCGCCAGCGTTTAATTTTTTAGGGAAACTATGCATTAAAAAATAGGCATGCCTTTTCTTGTATTTTTAACCGTACCACATGTCCCCGGTATCTTTTTTCAATAAGTACTCAAATAATGTCGGAGATGAGTACCAGTTATCCATATAAATGATGTGGCCTTTGTTTACGTAAGGCTCCATTAAAGTCGATATAACTGAACCAGACAGCTTTAATGTTTCATTTATAGTTATATGAGTGTTATCACCAGTATAAATTAAAAAATCAAGAACAAAACCAGAGTTACAATCGCATAGAACGAATAACTTAATTCCAAAGCGATGCCGTTTAGATGGAATGTATTGTTTAAATTGAAGTCGGCCTTTCCATTCAACGATACTTTCGTCAACACATACTTTTTGATGAGGCTGGTATGTGGATTTAAACTTTTTACGTAGGGATTCGACAATTGTTTTGATTTTAAATAATCTATCTCCAGGAATCTGGTTACGATTGTCATTGAAATGAAGGACTCTCAACAATAATAGGAACCTACCTTGAGTCATAATTTTCCCAAATATTGGTGTGGACAGTAATACCGAAGTAGACCAATAATCTTTAATATTATTTTTTTTAACATGTGGCATTAATAACATAAGAGCAAAAAATATATACATTTCATTTAAATTCGTATCTTTCCATTTACCAAGCTTAGAATGTTTTGATAAAACTGTATTATTTACTAAAAAATGGTAGAACTTATTTGTCTCTTCAACAATATGTTGGACCAAGTCTTCATCAAATATGTGTTTGAAAATATATAATTCTAAATTTTCCGATGGTAAATCGTTAATTAGGTCGTTATTAACTCCGGAATGTAAGCTATCAAAATTCAAATTATTTGGGCAATACTGAGGTAACATGTTTTTATTGAAATTCCAAAGTCCCGAAAATAGTGTACTATCAGATAATCGAGTATTTTTATTTGGAATTTGATTTTTTGTAGAAACGGGCATTTTACGTTTTTTAATACTAATTGAAGGTTCTAGGTTTGAAATCGCAGAGTTTTGTTCAATATTTGGGCAAACAGAATTAATATCAAAATAAAAATTGTCACTATTGTTATTTAGTGTAGTGCTATAATTGGTATTAGTATTTGGTGTTGATGTATGTGGATAAACTACATAATTGTCATCAAAGACAATTGCCATATTTTCTATGTCAAATGAATTTAGATTCGAAATAGAAATTTCTGGCGAACTTGAATACGAATACGGATCATCACGATCAGGACAGTCATTATTGCCGAAGCCGAGTGTATTATCACTATTATCAATTATTTCATTACATTTTTGTTTATCCAATACATTTTTTGGTGTAAAACTTACATCACTAACAGAATTTGAGGAAACAATAGTACTTGATCTGTTATTTTTGGTCAATTTAGATACTAACTTTTTCCTTATTTCTTGTGCTAAATCTTCACAGTCTGATTCATCAGAACTACTATCATAATAATCACTAGGCTCGTCGGCTGATTCATCATTAGTTATGATTTCGGTTATTTGATCGCAAGTTAGTTTATCCATGTTAACTTAGCTTAGACTACCTACAATGAATTAATTAACAGACTAACTAAAGATCACCCAACATTAACTACCATCGATAATAATATAATAATATTAAGTTATAACAATAAATGTTATTAGGCACATCAAGCACAGTCAAACACACCACAGCATACTATAAATTATTAATTGCAGCCAAGATATCCAGATAGTATTGATAATAAGTATAGCATTATCAGTATCCTCATGATAAGAATAAATGTAAACATTGCCTGCTTTGTAAATGGCAGCCAACTTCAATATCGGTCACCACTGTAGTACGAAGACGGCTATCTAGTTGTTGTATATATCTATGTGTTAAACAGCTCCACGAACAGTTTTAGTGTAGTTGTTATATCGTTACCTTAAATTGTTAAATTTATAAAATAAAAATTAATTATAAATTATAAGTATTTAGTTTAAATATTATCTATATTATACGTTTGATGAACCTTATAGGTATTAAGATTAATACATTTTGAATAGAATAATGGTTTTATTATTTTTTTAATATTAATTTGCATGTGAAATATTGCTCCATTCTTATTTTTATAATGATATTACCCATTTCTATATTTGGTGTGTTGTAAGTACCTACCTAAGGCTAAATAATAATATTTTTTACTAATAAAACTAGCAACTTGCCTGGTTTAGAAGGATTTTTGATTTCATTCATGAGTGTAAGGTAGCGTATATTCAAATTTGGCTCATAAGTTTCAATATAATTATACAGTTGTACTTTGAATAAATCATATGATGAATAAAGCAAATATTCTTTACTTGGGTATAATTCATTGATTCTCTATCGACAAAATACGTAAGTAGAAGTATTTTAACTTTTCTGAAGCTAGACAAAGGAGGACCGTACTGATTCGAAATAAGTGCGGCTCTTGCTACTGCCATTTTCTCATTTTCTGATTCAGACTCAACTACTTCTTCGTTCTTAATTTCGGCGATGTGAATAAGTTGATTTTCGTCACTATTCCTATCGGTGACAAGAGCTGTAGCAAACTCCTGAAACCACTCTTTATTATCACGAGACGACATTTCTTAGGACTCAATTATTCGCAACCTATTATCTTCCACTTCCGTACTTCAAACATGAACCTGACAACCTACAGAGAATAAAATACTTAGTTCCTTTTATCTGCCTACAGACTAAACAGAGAAAGCTGAGTCACTGAGAAACAGACTTATTATAAATATATTATTTTTTATAATATCTAATTACTACTTAGCATGGGCGGATAGGCCAATTTTGGCCTACCGGGAAATTTTACAAAGGGGCCCCAAACATGAAAAAAAAAGTCGCTCGCTTCGCTCGCAAATACATTACTATATCAATTTTATTAAGTACCACATCAAAATAAAGCATAACACATAACCAACAATGTATAACAAAACAATTTTTTACTATTTAATCAAATTTAGTTTTTCATTTTAACATAGTAACATTCTACCAAATACTGGGCTTCTAGCTCCTAATTTATTTATGATGTCTTCGGAATCAATTTTGTTGAGAATATCTTTTTCTACATTCATTAGCAACATACTCTCTAATACATTCTGACCTATTGTATTTCTTAAATAATTTTTTACAAATTTTAATTTCGAAAATGTACGTTCACATTCTACTTGTGTAATGGATAAAGTAAGCATAAATTTATATGCAAAGTGGAGGCCACGATATGTATTTGCGTATAAATTATATTTCACCAACACTTCATAACAGCAGGTTACACAATACTTGGTACTGGCACTATGCACACATACTATAATATCATCATCACTCTTGAGTCCTAGAACAAAACATAAAATAAAATATAACATAATTATTGATGATTTTATTTTTTAATATTTATGTAATAATAAATATAGATTACCATTTTCTGAATCATCACCATCATCAGTAACTTGATTATTTAGTTCATCATACACACAAGCAATGGTTTTTTTCAATTCTCTCCATTTAGATGTAAAGTCAACATATTCATTTCTAAGATCATCGTAAGTTATGTCCGGAATAAAATTTCTGATTTTTTCATATATTTTTATTAAAGCATTTGTTGGAAGTGGTAAATCTAGTTGAAAATTGTTTGGGTCAAGACAAGAAAAATCTGCACATAGTTGTTCATGTTTTTCAAATCTTGATGAAATACTTTCAATAACAGTATCAAATACTTGGTTATAAACATTGATTTCAAATGCCCGTAATGGATCTGTAATAGGATCATCTATTGATTCATAGTCAGTAAATTGTCTTTTTTTTTTTCTTACTCTAATATGAGGTAACTCATTTAGAATTTCTAAAGTATTATTCTCCATTTCATCAAATTTTTTATTGGTATATTCAACAAAAGTATTGGCTGCTTCTTTTATACATTGAAATTGGCGGGCACAGTCTTGTAAATCATTCAAAGTTTGTTTCACCATTTGATAAGCTGCAATTATATTAACTCCATGCCCTTGTAAATATTTTGATAGAGGAGTGGTTTTTTTAAAAATTCGCAAGTACATTTGGGCAGTTAAAATAGTTTCATATTTTAACAAACCTTCTTTTAAATTTTTTGCCTTGAATCGAGCATCTGGAGTTATACCTAAATTGTTTTCAATTTCATCTAATGTAGTTATGAGATCAACATACAATCCATTTTCGGGTTCATTAAATTGTCCAAAAACCTTTGTCAATGCTGCATCTTTGGACCACCATCTTGTTTCGCCGATTGTACATATTTTTTTTTTGGAATTTTTGGTTGTCCATATGTCCATACGTTTATATGACTCACGTATAAATACCGCACATCCTTGCAAGATACCAAACAAAGAAATAGATTGGACAATTTTGCTTGTAATATCACTAATAACTAAATTTAATACATGTGCATAACACCATACATGTACTTGTTCAACTGCTGCTTCGCTCATTTTCGTGGAAAATCCATTATAAACTCCTTGCATATTTGCAGCTCCGTCGGTTGCAATCTAATTATACAAGTGTTTAAGTTAAGTTTTTATACTTCAAATAATGTTAAAAATTATAAATATAATAGACACATTCAGAACACAAATTGTGTCTTAAATATTTTAAGTACCTATATTTATTTGACAAACCCTACTTATTTTATACTGCTAATTGCTACCTATCAAATGTAATAATGATAATATTAAGATATCTATATAAAATATAGTGTAATTTTAGTTAATATACAATATAATATATTATAATATAACCAATGTGAGTACTTACTTGATTTTACAAAATTTAATTTTTTTTGATTAGGGTTTTGACCTTCCTTTCTAAGCAACTCTTTCTCCTTTTTTTTTCGTTTAGCACTTCCGCTTTTATGTATTTTTTTGGAATTGCCCATTGAAAAAAATAAAACAGCACGTAAACGTCTGTTTTAACTGTATGTCTGTATGTACTATGCAATGTGTAAGAACTAAGGAATATAATATATAACACTGAATACTGATCAACTATATAACTTAAATCAAGAAAAATGACTAACGATTAACCGCGAGTTAGTAGAAACGTTATGTCTGCAATAGTGCAATAAGTATATAATAATTATAATTCTACAATTTGTTTGTGATAAGATATCGGTAAAATAGTAAATATTACTTTATATTACCGCACACAAATACACGTAGCATTGAAAAAGTCCAATGTTTAGTTTAGATTATTCTAAAAATAGTATCTACAACAACCGATTTGTGAGTGATTACCCACCTCACCAGTTACCAGTTTCAACCGTGACCCACTACCCGCCGCCAACCAAAAACCGACGTTGTAGTTGTGAGAGCAAGGCGGCTGCGGGCCGATAAGAAATGTTTTGAAAAAGACCACAGATAGTAATGTATAATATGAGATATAATTGATATAAGATATTAAGATTATAATATTTTTTTTGATATTTCAAATTATTTCTATCGTAGGTAATTGCATTTTATTAAAGGGCCCCATTACCGAAATACGAAGGGGGGCCCACCGGGAAATTCCCGGTTTCCCGGTAGGCCTATCCGCCCATGCTACTTAGTACTTATTGCTAATTATTATCGGTTATCGGTAAGTATTTTCGGGTATTTTATAATATCGGTTCATGCGTTTGGATAAAAACTCAAAGTTTTGAATATATCGGTTATCGGTTTTAAATTTGCATAACATATCGGTTTATCGGTTATCGGTTAAACGTGATATCGGTCAATCCCTAAGTATAATACTACGAATTAATAAATACAATATGTCTAAATAGTATATTAATTATTAGTATATACTATAATATGTCTATAGTATAGTAATAAATACAATAATATAAACATACCTCCGTCGCGGTTCTCAGAAATATCAATGCAAATAATATACAGTTCGTAAATCACATAAATCATGATGGAAAAATTCATAAATAACTTTTTACAAATAACTTTAATTTAAACAAAATAACTAATTTAAGTTACAATTTTTTATAAAAAGAAATAACTTAGTTACCTACTAAGTTATTTTCTACATTCTATTTTTTTTAACTAGTTAAGTTAAAAGTTATCAAAAAAAGTAACTTTAACTTATCTTTTAACTTTTTAACTAGTTACTGCCCAGCTTTGTAAATTACAAAAAAAAAATTAAAATCGTTATTCTTGGTTTTAGTACGTAATTACGTCCAAATTTGAATTTAAAATGCCTGTAAAAAATAAATGTGTTTATTTATTTTTTAGATTTTTTGGTGACAGTATGAATTATTTATAAGAATTTTTGTCTTAAATTCTCAACCCTTAGTTATAAAAACTGAATATTTTATAATTTTTTAATTACAACGAATGATAATTTTCGAGATTTTGATAAATTTTGTCAAAACTCGAAATTTAAACACTTATAAAAAAAAAATCGTGCCTATGTATTAATTTTTCAACTACTATTGTAAAAATATATCAGGAACCTTGTTTTAAAATTTCAAACTTTTTGGCGCAATAAAATTGTATTGATATTCTTTGAAGAACTAACGACAATTTTGGGTTTTCGCACAACTTTACAAACGACTTACAAACGTTTGGGTCGAAAAAAGTTTGGGTTATCCAAATTGCACGGAATTCACCCATTTCTCCAGCCCCCCCATCTTAAATGGGCATAACTTTTTTTGGTTTTCTGTACAAACGAAAGTTTTGCTTTTACAAAACTTTACAAACGACTTACAAACCAATAGTTATGTTTTTATGCTAATTTTTGAAATTGGGGGGGGGATGGGGAAATGTCCGTGATAAATTTAATATTGTAAGTGTAGAAATTTTTTGCTATTTGATTTCTTTAAACAGTGACTAATTATAAGGTGCGTAATTTTATTTCTTAAGGTTGAACTTAATGTTTTGTTTAGTTAAAAATATTTTATTATATATTAAAATACTTTTTTTTAGTCTTTAATTTTTTATTGCAAATCAACATTTTAGAACTGCTAGCCTAACAACTAACCAACTAATATTTTTCAATTATTAATGAAACAACATTTCTATATTACATATTATAATAAAATAATAAATAAACATAATTAATACTAGCTAGGTACTAACTAAATTTATAAATATAAATTTAATTTAAGCATCAAAAATAACTTTTTGAAAATATAGTTATAGTACCTATAATAATAAATAATGTGTACTTACCAATAAATTCTTGAATTAAACACTAGTGTTTTATCTGATTTTAAAACACTTGTCTATCTGAAGAGACTGAAATTAAGTCTGAGTCAGATGCATACCAATATTATGGAGGCAATAGTTCAGGTAGACAAGTAAACAACTCCACCAGGGATACCAATAATTCTAATAGGCGGAATAATAATTTTAATAACAATAATTAGTTCGGCCGCAACGCCCAGCATGAATGCACGTACTCCGCGTTTTCGCTCCGTTATCGCTGTGCGCCCTCGCTAATTATGTTTATTATTTTTGTCATCATTCATTATCTACTTTTACTAAAATATTTATAGTATTAGATTATTATGAATAAAGGCACCCGTAATGCGGGCCCCGTTCCGTCACGCACACCCAATCCGTCTAAGAGACATTTGTCTAATTCGTCGCTTTCGCCGAATCTAGCCGACAAAAAATCGAAAGTTTTTACTTCACCAAATCGTTTCGCCGTACTTGCCACAAACGACTCCACCGACAAATCAGCTGCTGCCACGTCCTCATCCAATCCGATGGATGTTCCTTTAGTGAGCCAACCTCACACTGATCACGTCAGGGATCCTCCGATTCCACCTATCTTCGTTAAAAACATAGTGGACTTCTCCGCCTCCAACGACTTGATCGACATCACCAGCCCGAATGGTTTCACCTGCAGGGCGTCTTCATCATACCTTAAGGTACAACCACTTGGCCGCATATACTATAATACTATCTTGAATCATTTACACGAAATTGATTCCAGTTTCCACACATACACCCCCCGTCACCTCCGCACCTCCAGATGTGTCATTAGAAACCTGCACCACTCCACGTTAGTGCCCGATATAATTAACGCGTTGGCCGAATTAGGTCACAACGTCAAATATGTTCACAACGCCAAAAACAAAGATAAAAGCCCCCTTCCTCTATTCTTTGTAGAGGTTAAACCTCAGGACAATAACTTTGACATTCTGGGCATCTCTTCGCTTCTCAATACAAAAGTTTCTATCGAGAAACCACACATCAAAAAAAGAGGCTCACCTCAATGCCACAATTGTCAAGATTACGGACACACGAAAAAAAATTGTCATCACCAATCGAGATGAGTCAAATGTGGGGAAGACCATCACACGGAGGACTGCACCAAAGACCGCAGTAGTCCTGCTAAATGCGCCTTATGCTCCAAGGACCACACCACCAATTACAAGGGCTGCCCGGTATTCAAGGCCGCTTTCAAAAAAGCCTATCGGAGAGTCCCTCGGAAAGGCCCGATTCCCAATCCTCATCAAACTACACACAAATCATACGCAGAAGCCACCAGAAATCAAAGTTCACAACCCGATCAAATTGGCGAAATGTTTTCAAGTTTCATTTCTAATTTGAGCTCACTAATCAATCCCCTCATCTCCCTCTTCTCCACTGTACTAAACTCACTTATTGCTAAAGGTACTATTTCTCCATAATTATCTCTGTCATACCACTTATTGCTCTTTATAATTGATCACACATCTATCACTCCACTTGGAGATAGTAAATATAAGATAACAATAATCTGTTACTATTAAAATTGTTTATTTCTGTAATATACCTATTAGGTATAATAATATACAGTAAATAATATTGTCACGCGCTGGGTGTTACCACTGGGTAACTCCCCAAAATCATATTATTCATTGTTATTTGTTTTTGTATTCTGTTATCTCATCTAATTAATGTGCATATCGATGTATAGATTGTAGATTATCTTTTTACTCAATAAAAAAAAAATAATAATAATAACAATAATCGTTATAATTATAATTCATCCAATAATAATAGACCGAATCACAGCAATGACAATTCACAAAGACAAAATTACAATCCTAGAGAAAATTTTAATACAAATTCGAATTATATTAGACGACAGTATAATCGAAATCCGAATTTTAATAAACCTGATATAAATCAAGGTAATAGGAACAGTTTCAACAATAACCAATACCAGCCTCGCAACAATAATAATTTTAATCACAACAATGATTATAATCGTAGTAGTAATTATCGGAATAATAACAATGCAATAGGTAATATACGATGTTATCAATGCGGAGGCAATAATTTTGCCCGGGATTGTGTACAGCATCGTAATAGTAAAACAATTCGCGTCCATCTAACAATAATTTCACGCGACAGCCTACTAATTACAACGCTCCGGTAGAAGTAATATGCACGTATTGTAAAAAATCTGGACATGACGTTTCCAAGTGTTTTAGGAAACAGAATAACGATAGGTACAATAACTTGCCGAGATCGGGCGACATGAGTGGCGCTCGGCCGATAAATTTGATAGCCGCGGTCGAGGAAGATTTCGACAATGCCTATACACATCGTATCAGTCTTAAACAACAATCATGTCACTTGCCAATCTGTCAATATAAGAAAAGAATTTATAGAAGCGATGTTAACTTAATAAAATTTAGTGCTTTGACAGGTGACACACTAGTACATGAAAACAGAAAAATATATTTAAAAGGAATTAATGATAAGATAGTGTCAACAGTAGGACAAATTAAGATAACTTTAAGGTTTAATGAAGTTAATATTGAAACGGTGTTTCAAGTAGTACGTGATTCGTTTCCTATACCTAAGGATGGTATTTTAGGACAACAATTTTTAATGGAAAATAAGGCAGTAATTGATGTAGCTAATAATTCGTTAATAATAAATAATAAGATAGTCAATAAGATAATTAAGGAAAAATTATGTTTTAAGTTGAACCCACGAACGGAAACAGTGGTAGCTATACCAATTACCGATCCGGCCATGGAGAATAAAGACATTATAGTTTATAAGCAGGAATTAATAAAGGATGTATACTGTGCCAATGTGGTAGGAACAGTAAAATTAGGGAAAGTTATAGTTAGTATAGGTATTAAATGTTTCCGAAGTAACGAAGGAAATAAATGAAAGTGTAATGAATCAAATATTATATGATGTAGAGTTGCATGTAAAAGACTCTATATTGTTAAAAGATAATACCCAAAGAAATAAATTGACACCGTTATGGAAAGGGCCTTTCGAAATTTTAGAGGTGTTAGACACTGAAAATATTGTTATCCAAAGGGGAAAAAGAAAGATTACTGTACACAAAAATGACGTGAAAAAGTATCATGAAAATCCAGATTAAGAAATTATTAAACCATACATATACAAATATGAAAATCTAATTAGTCATGTCCCTAGTTAACAAAAGGAATTATTTTACAATTTTCAAAAAAAAAAAAAAGTACCTTTTAAGTTTGGTTTAGAGCATGGTTACTCGACCTTTAGTAAAACGGTAACCATGTGACATAAAAATGGATAACACTCATTTTTGTTTTAATAGTAAATTAATATTACTGAATATTATATTAAAATATTTGATTTTATAAAAATTGGTAAAAACCGAAAAAAAGTATGTATGAAAAATACAATAAATGCAAAATTCCATGTCTATAGCTCATCGTAATAATATATAGGTAAGTACCGTAATGGCAAAAAGATTCAATTAACATTTGTGTTCCAACAATTTATAAATACTATAGTAAAGTTAATAATAGTTTCGGAATGTTTCAGTTCCTTGTGACTTATGAAAAACCTTATCTCGAAGTTTCAAATATTAGATCGGTATTAAAATTAAAAATTGTATAAATTATAATAATATGTGCAACAAACCAACAACCATCATTTGCTATTGGTAATATAATCGTAGTTGTATAAGTAATAATTCAATAACTACAAATCAAGCTATGTTGTATTACCGTTTTTACTATCTATGTATGTCTACATATATTTAGGTAAGCAGTAACTTAAAAAAAAAAGTTTGAATAAGTACGCGCGGATATTAAATATAATACCGCGGCGTATACGTGTGTGAAGTTTATATTGACACGATCCATCTTGGTCGAACGTTCATAAAATAATAATCAGCGCTCCCGAGACGCACTGAAAGAGCAGCGCCACCGACTGCGATTAGTGGGCGTGACTTAAACGCCGCGCGCTTGCGGATCGCGAAAACTCTTAACAGCGCGTTCTCTCGGCCGTTGTATATGTTTCGCTTTACGTGTGGCCTCCTCTTATGCTAGCTCCACACTCTCGCCGAGGCGAAGCGAGGCGGCGCGAGCACGAGAGTGTAGTCGGTTCACTCGTGTCGTCTCGTCTCGTCTCGTCTCGTCTCGCCTCGCCTCGTGCGCGCTCCACTCCGAGTCGGTATTTTGGTCGCGAGTCAAAAGACCACGAGACACGAGACGAGGCGTACCTACTTCACTCTCGCCTGAGCTCGCATGTCCTCAGTTAAAAAACCAAAATAAATCAAAACGTTTTGTGCAAAAATGGCTGATTGGACTAACGAAATTTCGATTAAATTTGTGGAGTTATACCAAACAGAAGAGATTTTATGGAATGCAAAGCATCGTAATCACAAAGATAAGGCAAAAATGAATGACGCATGGTGCAGAATTAGCAAGATTTTGAATATACCCATAGAAGATTTGAAAAATAAAAAAAATTCAATTATGGCTACATTTCGGGGCCATTTGAGAAAGAAAAAAGCGTCCATTAAATCAGGAGCCGGCCAGAACGATATTTATCGACCAATATGGTTTTTATATGATCAAATGGAAAGTTTTCTTGGAAAACTAAACGATTGCAACGTGACATTAAATACTGAAGAGGTAAATATAATTACTTCATAATTACTAGTTTATGTTTATTTATTGAAAGGTATTAATTATTATTATAAAAGTATGACGTAAATTGTTCTCTTATTTGTATTGCATTTTCTGGTGATCTGCGTGGTACTTGATCGATAGGCCTAATAGCACAATTTTCGCCGATTTCTCTTCTCCATTAACCCGGTTGAATTATCACTCCAGTATTATCACAAATGTCTATTGTACCGGGAGGAGTATAAATTGATGCAGCCGTTTCATTTCTCCTTAAAAAATTATGCAATAGCACACATGTCATTGTTATGATGGAAACTTTTTCTAACTCTATTGAAATTGGTTTTTTGAAAATTCGGAATTTAGCAGCCATTATTCCAAATACATTTTCAATCACAACACGGGAGCTTGATAATTTTTGATTAAAAATGCGTTTTGGAGAGCCAATCTCATGGTTTCCGGGAAATGGTTTCATCAAGTTTGTATGAAGAGCAAATGCTCCATCTCCTAGGAAAACATATGGTAAATCAACATTTGAGCCATGAAGGGGAGAAGGAGCAGGAATGTTAAGGCTGTTTGAGCAAATTTTTTTCCACAGCAAAGAATTTTTAAACACGCCACCGTCGCTAATTCTACCTTGACTCCCTATATCAGCAAATAGAAAACGATAGTCACTACTAACTAATCCCATTAACACAATACTAAACGAGTTTTTATAATTGTAGTATTCTGAACCAGTGTTAACTGGGCATTGCAAAACTATGTGTTTTCCATCAATTGCTCCGATACAATGTGGAAACTTTTCTCCAAACCCTTTTTCTATTTCTAACCAATCACTTGAAGTTGATGGTAGCTGAAATATAAATTAAAATAAATAATTAATATTTATAGGCATATTGTATTGTATAATGTAATTACTAGACAACGGATTTAAATGCTCTTTTTTAATATTTTAGGGAAACATTTCGCAAATAACTGACCAGGAAACATTAGAAAATAATAACGATAATGAGGACGGCAATGAATTTAATTCTCCTAACAATATAACTAGTCAACCAACACAAGAAAATATCCTGATACAGCGACCAACATCTCGCCGGCGAGGAAATCCTGAAGTTGAAGAGGCTGGGAGACAAATGAAGAGGGCGTTTAATACTTTAGAAAGTGTTTTAAATAAAAAACACGAAGAGGATGAGTATGATTTATATGGAAGGATACTTGCAAGCAAATTACGTAAGTTACCGGAAAACGAACGAGAACTTTTTATGTACGATATTGATGGAATGTTTGTACAACGCTATCATCGGCTTAATAATCCCTTGTTATCTTCACTACAGCCTACATTTTCTCGAGCATTCTCTACAGGAATGAATACTGCAAATGAATCATCATCTACTGTAACTTCTTATTCTGATTCGCCGTGTCAACCACTTTCAATACTTATTCCAGAACAACCTTTAACGACATATTCTACTTATTCAAATTCAAATACACTAAGTAATACTTCAAACCAATCGACAGGCTCTAACTCTCATATTCAAAATATAGTGGATACAGCTTATTACACTGCTGTTGGTAATTATAAAGAAAGTAACAACCAGTGATGATAGTGTAGTATTAATATTTAGCTTATATAATTATGTTCCTAGTTATTCTAGCACAAAGTAACTAATTTATTTTAATTTCTAATATTTGTTTAAAAATGTTTTCATATAAATATTTAAAAAGTTAATATTTATGTTTTAATTGTTAAATTTTTATTTTATTTTACGAACAGGTTGTTCAAATAAAAAAAATTTTATTTTATTTTGCATCATTTAAAATAATAAATATTTTTAATAATTTTACTATGAAAAGTGTTATTTATTAAATAAATAATTATAATATTTTTACCTTCACTTCATTTTTAAGAACTTGGTTGATTGCTGCACATACTTCTGGTACAATCTTTGATATTATTTGGCTAGATACTTTAAACAAAAAGTGAAGGCTTTTATAACTATCACCTGTAGCTAAAAATCGTAGCGTAATTGCTAGTCTTATCTTAGCTGGGATTGAATCTCTCAGTTGAGTATCTTGTTTTGAAATAATAGGTGAAATTAAAGTGAGTAAATATTCAAAATCTGATAATGACATTCTAGTAAAATTTTCAAACTCGCCTGAAGGTTCATATAACAATTCTACAAATACATTTTCCATGCTTTGCCTGAAAGAAAAATGTTATGAGAAAATAAAGAGTAGTACAAATTATAATTATTCTCCCTTTCATTTTTCTTATTACGCCATTAAGGCCAATACTTAATATCAAACTAACTTACTTTGTTCTGTTTCTGTGTATTGTTGTTGTCCACCATCTCCTCTTATTGGGTTGTTTAATTTTTTTTGAGTGGCTTAAATTTAGAAAATTATGATAACTGTATGCACACAATGCAGCCGCAGCTGTTATTTCAACCACGTCCATTTTGTACAACCGCTAAAAACAACTGAGTGAGTCACGAGACTACACGAGAGTGTAGACTATGCATTCGTGTGCTGCCTCGCCTCGCGTTAACTCGACTAGACTCTCGACGAGGCGACCTCGCGAGAGTGTGGAGCTAGCATTAAGTATAATACGATTATAATATATATATTATATTCAATAATAGATATAAATGCTGCAAGGAGGACGTAACCCCGGTAATAGTAATAATATAGGCATCCGGGCGGCCACATCAATAAGAACTAATTAATGGTACAGCGCGAACACGTGATAGGTATACGCGCGCAATATCCATATTCTATGAAAAACGAAAAAGCCGTAAACAGTACAAATAGATAACTTTGGAAAAATATAATCCGTAATTAACATTATTTCGTAGAGGACGTCCAAAATAACGTCAGGTGTACGCGGCTATGTACCATTTTTATACTAAAAATGCCATAGGAGCTATGCCAATGCTATTAGGAATACCGACGAAATACGTCGATGGACAAGCGTCCATCAGACGAACACCAGCCGAGACGACGAGCACCAGCAGAGCAGCCACCAAGTCGATACTAAGTCACATCCCGTTTACCACATTTTTATAAGTTAATTATTTGGACTTAGTCTATTTTATGTGTTAAATAAATACAACTGAACTATCATTATAAAATCAACTTGTTATTTAATTCAAAATACCATCAGAACTGAGTTGAAGTGGTTGGCACGTTACACCGGCACATTTTCTAAAACTCAATTTCCTGTCATTGATATCAAACATATTAATATAACTACCTGCTGCGTACACAACCGTGTGGTTGTCTGCTGCACATATATTGAACATTTTGGAACAACAATCGTAACCGAATGAATGACTATTATTATAGATGTAAGGTTTTATTATACCAATAAATTGGATCTTCATATTATTATTAGTATTAACGATCATCTAACCACCCCTACATTTATTAGTTATTACCAATGTATTCAGCGGCCCCGACTTATTTTTCACTTGGTGGGGAAAAGTATAAACATTATATACCATCACCACCACTCACCACCCACATGATTATAGTGTAAATTCAACTATCACAAAGCAAACACTGGGGCGAACCACCCCATAAAAATATGCTTTCAGCGCCACTAATCATAATATTGTTGTTGTTTTATGTCCAGCCTTGCCAACTGGTGGAATTGCATGTATTTTATTTTTATAATTCGTATTATATTATATATCATAGTAGTATTATCAATCAATATTAATTATTAAATAATAAATAAAATTGAACGTCTTAAAAATCGTTCAAATTCATTAAATATATAAACGTTGTTCACGTTCTATTTGAAAAAAAACTAGTGACGTTCACGTATCGTTCACTAAATATGAACGTGAACGCGTGAACGACGTTCTTTCCAAACTCTGCATTTGAATAATATATATATTTATGTTATTAAAATTGCGACTTATATAGGTATAATGACAACGGCGTATTCAAAACATAATTTTTTGCGGGGAAAGGGGAATTTAAAATATTATTGAAAAAAAAAAACTTATTTTAAATTTCTAAATGTACGTAATCTGAACAAAATATTGTTGGTGGGGGGGTCATCAAAGTACGGCCTTGGCTAGTCAGCCGTTGTACTATACTTGTACTAAATTGTATGTTTGGCATAACTATATTATATAGTTAAAATTATTTTAATATACTATTCAATATTTGTACATCAACCATTTTATAATTTATATAGATAGTTGAAATTACTATAAAATAATTTGGTGCAACTATAACTTTTTAACTAATTAATTTTAGTACTCTCAACTAAACACATTGTTGGATGTAACTAAATAAAACGTTGCGCCAACTGAAAATTATCCAACTATTTACTATAACCAAATTTTTTTTCCGTGAATATGAAACTGTTGTAAAATTATAATAATGTGTAATTAACGTAGATATGTACAATTTTTTTTGTAAAATTATTATTTCTAGAGTTAGGTTTAATTATATTAAAAAAACTAACGATTTCGTACATTTTTAAATTTTTGAAACTTTTAACTTTGGTGGCACGTGTTAAACTTTATCAAATTGTCTGAAATTATTTTCTTATGCTTTTTTTAAGTATTGGAACCTATTTGAGGTGGGTAACTTGAACATTTTGCCATTTTTTTTTCCTTCATCTATACCAGAGGACCACCCTAAGTGCTATATTATGTAACCATGATGGTAAATATTGTAAAAATGTTGTTTTTATACTTTATAGCTGATACAGCCGTGCTGCTGCTGCTGCTGGCTAGTCGTTCAGACACTCGGTCTTCTGGTGGGAGTGATGATAGGACGGGACACTTTTTTTTCTTATCTATCTATCTTGTTATTATCGATCATGACCATTGTGGGTATTGTTAAATTGAGATAAAATTTCGTTTTGACTTCTGTTTTTTATTGTTGGGTTTGTTAAATTGCCCAGTAGCAGTAAACTGAACGAATATTAATTTTAAGCATTAATAAGTCGCAAACGGCTTACTCAAATTAAATTCTGTAAACGTTAAAATAATTTTTTCAGTATGTTTATAGATTTTCGTTATCGAAAATAGTTATTGCCATTTGAAAATCGAAAGTTGATAGTGTTTTATCGAATAAGGGAGGAAGTTAAAATTATCAAAATTGTAACACAGGGTAAAATGGTAAAACCTAGAAAGTTAAAAAAAAAAAATATTTTAAAATTCCTAATACTTCCCGAGATATTTACGAGATAACTGGTTCACGATGAAAAAAATCACCCTGTATACAGTATTATAAAATTAAGTAATAATATATAATCCAAATAAATAATAAAGAACTAACCTTCGTTTGTGGCTAACATTGTCAATGGTATATTACTTTTATTTGCAAAATCTTGACCCTTTTGCCAAAATTTAACAAAAGCCTCATTAGAACTCAATTTTTTAATTGAAGCAATTACACCTTTGTATATTTTCCCTGAATTTCCCAATGTAGCTTTTTTATTTTAAAGCTGATTGCCCAAGATATTAAAGACGCAAGGTACATCATAAAGAATGAATATTATAAGAAGAAAGTTTTTTTTATTATTATTGAACTTAAAATGCATGAAAATTAAAAATCGTTTAGCATGTCATCGTCAATTTGTTAGAAAATATTATTCGCGTAAAATAAAAAATATTAACCTATTGCTTGATCAACATCTTTGTCTGATTCAACTTCCTCTTTAAGTGCTTTAATAATATTTACTTTCAAAATTATTTATTATGGATTCACAGTTCTTATACAGACATTCCCATATTACAGTACTCCTAAATAGACCCATTTATATTTGAATTTATATTAGTTTACCTAGTATTCATTGATGTCCTTGAAAAATGTACATACCTACACTGCTTCCAATATTATATTAAATGCTGCCCTAGCACTCTGTCCACATAAACAAACAAACATTATTTAAAATTAGGTTTCTAATTTGAACGCATATACTATAGTTATAATTATTTATTACAAATAACAAACGTAAACTAATACCTTAATTCTTTAGCATACCTATGTCAACAACCACCAAATTGACCTTATTGTAATTGAGTCATACAGTGAGTATATACTGCAGCAGGATGTTGCTATTTTCTTTAGCTTGAACGCCATTCATATTCCCAGACATAACCGTCATAGGACTGTGCAACAATGTGAATATATTGTATAGATATTTTTTGTCCCCCAAAATAGCTTCAACAATATTTTTGGCATTTGCACTTTTGACAAGTCCACAAAGCTTAAAAATATTCTACACCAAAAACAAAAGACGGCGTATCTTTTAAGACTATATTCCAACCACTCATACTGTTGGAAGTATTAACTACCAAATGCACGTCTTTGTTTTCCAAATTTTGTGATTGGATATGCCTATTTCGAATAAAACAATTTAGGTAATTAGATATAATTGGTTATTTAGTTATATTAAATAACAAAAAAAAAATAACAAAAAAAGGTAGGTAAGTGGATGTCACTCTGCTGTACAGTAGGTTACAAGTGGGTCACTGTATAATGGATGCTATTAAATTTGAATTCAATGATACAATATCATTGTATAAGAAAAACGATTCTAAGCGAAGACGGTATGTCATTCTAGGTTTAAGACAAATTATATACATATCTATGGTATTAAAAAAAAAAATTGACCTATAATTATAGTGACTTGATAGAGATAGTGTGGCCATGTACGAGAATGTTTTTGATTGGTTTAGATATTTTGCCGCCATTAGTTTCCTATGATAACAACACTTAATTTAAATATAAAATAAGTAGCCAGTCTAAAATCAAATTATTTTTAGTTTTAAGTTAGTATATTGATAAATATTAATTTCGGATTTACCATGTTTACTCCTAATTGTTGTTTTGTTGCTTATTATTTGGTTAACCTTAAAATATTTATAAAAGAACAAATGTTTTTCGCTATTCATGGCAGTGTGCAGTGTATTTCTTTAAAAATTATTTTTACTGTTTTACATCATCATGCCTTGTTGTGTAGCCATCGGGTGTTCAAACTCCGACAAAAAAGGGTATTTAATGAAACATTTTCCCAGAGACCCTATTAGGAAAAAGCTTTGGATGGCCAAAATAAAAAGAGATAAATGGACACCTTCACAACACTCTTGTATATGTGAGGTAAGTTCTAACATTAAAAACTCATCACAAAGTAAAATTTGGTTTTAGATAGTTATAATTTTACTACTTAAAGCAAACAAATTATATTCAAAATAATTTAAATTACTTTATAGATGATAAATTTATTTATTCAAATATATAGAATTAGATAGCTAGGCATAATAGGTACTAATAATTCCCTAATTATGTAGGTATTCTCTAATAAGTTATAAGGTTTTCTGCTAATTCTACTTAACTAAATTCTCAAAACACTTTAATCGTTCAATGAGTTAATCCTTATTATTTTGTTTGTTTCCATCATAATAATTTCGGACCCTAGAAAACTATTGT